AAAACAAGTATAAGTGATCAAGAGCAGTGGAGGTTCTGAAATGAGTAATAAAGTTAGCATTTCAACTGAGTTGAATGTTGGAGGCGAATATTTCAGATAGAGGGAAATGTTCTTTGTCCCCTTATAATGCTTCCTTTGTCTCACTCAGTCTTTTTCCCTATATTGCCACAGAGGCTCACAGGACACCTGCATAGCCAAGGCTCTCCACCTTATGTGATCAACCTGGACCCAGCTGTGCATGAAGTTCCCTTTCCTGCCAATATTGGTAAGTAAACTGTGCCAGTTCTCTATAAAATGCCTCAGAATGGAAAGCCTCCAGCCTGCCAGTTTTCAATGCTTTTATTTTTTTCTAAACCATCTACTTTCGTTTCCTTTGCCTTTACCAAAATCTTTAAACTTGGCCTCTCGCTTATTCGTATTTTCTCTTTATTTACTTCTCTCCCTTTCCTAAACGTGTTCGCTTACCACTCAGCGTTATTTCTTCCCCCTTTCTGACCCGAGGGTGTCATGCTATTGTTAGTTGGGAAAATGAAGTGACACAAAGTCCTCTCGCTTCTAGGCCATTCAGAAGGCTCTGATACATACACTTTTAAAATTTTCTTTTCTCAAAGTTAGAGTATAGGGTTTTTGTGTAGTAGTTCACTTACTGATTTATAGGAACCTATCTTCCACTCTCAAAGTTACATGGGAAAATATACATATATATGCATATGTACATTGTTTAGGGGAGAGATTCCCAGTTATCATTAGACTTTAAGAGGAATCTGTGACTCTAAAATGATTAAAATTAAAAAAAAATTTGGAAAGCAACTCAGATGCCAAGAGAGAAACTTATTTTTTTTCCCAGAAGAAGCAGAGATGACTTGAGAGACCTATTGGCTTAGAATATTATTGGTGGAGGGTCTTATGCTATGTTGTTTCATATGTGTTAAATTCCAGTTAATTCTCTCCCCTCCCCATCCCCAGATATTCGTGACACTGTGAAGTATAAAGAAGTGATGAAACAGTATCCTTTTTTACATCTCCTTATTTGTTGACTCATCCCTGGCTAGTTACCATCTGTGTATTTTGTGGCTTCAAAGAGTGTTTTTGCATTTCCTTGTGAAATTTATTAGCAGAAACATTTGGTTGCTTTAAAGTAATTTTATTAGGATGGAAGATGGATGTGGGGGATAAGTATTGTAGGTGATTAGAAATACTATTTCAACATGTGATTCGGTTTTCTTAACATCTTCTCAGACAGCAGGCTGTTGTAATTAGAGAGCTCAGAGAATGAGAGGCTGGCTGGTAGTGTGCTTGGGTTCCAGAAAGTAGTATTGCCTTGGAGGATAAATCCATTGGTCACCGCCTCTTCAGACTGGGAAACTCAGAAATTAGTAGGTTCAGTAGAATCAACTTTTAGTACATTACTGCATGAAATGGAAGACTAATTATAATCAGCAGGTTGCTTGATTAATGAGGATCAGAGCAAGGAGTGTTACATAGAGGATCTTAATGGCTAATGCCAAAGGCTGTCACTGCCTGATGCATCTGTCAATTATGTTTTGCTCACTTTAGTTTCTTCATTTTGTCTGGCCATCTCTAAAATGATAAATTTCCCTATGAAGTTTAGGTTGTGTGGTATATACTAGTCAAGGATTAGCTTGCAAATATTCATTAATGGACCACTAATACAACGTAGATTGTGTGAATGATATCCTAGGTATAAGCTTTATCATCTATATTGATCTGTAAGCAATTTAAATCCTCAACTTAGTGTCTAGATATGGACTTGGGCCCAACGGCGGCATAGTGACCTCACTCAATCTCTTTGCTACTAGATTTGATCAGGTATGTCTGTCTGTTTTTACTTGTACAGGTACGACTATGTAAAAACCTTCAATGCCTTGGTTTGATAACATTGGGAAAGAAGAGCAATAGAACTGGATATAAATATAGAAAATAATTTTGATAGAAAAATAGGCTATGAGAGCATGACCAATGTTATAAACACTTCACATTTGATATTCATGAGAGCCAATAAAACAAAAATCCAGGAGACCTGGGTTCGTTTCTTGATCTGTTATTGGCTCGTAGTGTTAGCCTGAGGATGGAATAGAGAGACGGTAAAGAGTGGGTTGTGGGTTGGTGAGATGGGCTAGCAGGCACGGAATGGAAAAATAATGGGGCTTTTAACTTGTGACAAAGTTGTCATCATTTAGATTTTCTCTATCACCTTCTTCTTCTGTAAGAGTGTTTTAAGAATGTTTTATAATCAGTTTTTTTTTTTTTTACCTTGATGTCACTCTATGAGACAGGCTATTAACATTTTGCCAAAGCAGAAGTGACTTGAAGGTAGCAGATCAAGTCTTCAGCTTCTCTGGTTCTTGCACTGTGCTCTAGGGTGTTGCAGTGCTTCTAATGTGGCTATGTTTCTTTGGTTCAGTAAGTTTATTAATTGGTGCCCTAAAGTTAAGAACACGAAGATTCAATAGTTGATGGTGTCTATGAGGCAGGCCACCCTGGAGAAGATCTTGTGATTTTGTGTTGAAATTGGATCCTGATGTAATTGGCGTCTTTTTCTTTTAGGTAATGAAATTTATTGAGAAGGCCCAGAACATGTCTAAGTGAGTGATTTTAGTTTTGCGCCATTAATTACTCTGTAGCTGACACATTTCTAGGCTTTTTGAAGGATTTTGGGATAGCATCAAGTTTTGAAAGGGTGTCAATTGAGATGAAACTCAGAAGTGAAAATAAAAATAGGCGGGAAAATCATTAAGTTGCTATCCACTATAGAGCTAAATTTAGTAGTATCCCACCCCCAATTACTTTGTTATTTGCCCATGGCTTCTTAGATATTGTGAAACTGTCCAAATTCAGTTATCTACCTCCTTTCTCTTGGGGAACCATAATGTTGGCATTAAAGTCTCTGAAACACCTTTCTAACTCTTGTTTAAATGGATATATTTACATAATACAGAGAAAATAATTTTTTTAATTTAAAAGTATCAAAATATAAAATAAAATATTTGTTCTTATCATTACCTACAATTAATTGTTAAAATTTTAATGTTTTTTTTTTAAAGAAAGATTTTTGTAAAAAAGGATACATGCTCATTATAAAGAATTCAAACCATACATAATACTGAAAAGATGAAGCCATCACCCATGAGATTTCTGGTAGAAATAACTAATTATCATCATCATCATCATCATCATCATCAGTGACTATCATTCTATATGTATCTAGGCATATATACATAAATAGAAGGTCAGATGGATGGAATGGATAAGGTGTTTTATAAAAATGAGATCATACTAAAGGTAGTTTTTTAAAAAATAGCTTTATTGATATATAAATTCACATACCATAAAGTACACTCCTTTATACAATTTAGTAGTTTTTAGTATATTCATAAAATCGTGGATTGATCCCTACTATCTATTTCAGAACATTTTCATCACCCCCAAAAGAAGCCCCATATGCATTGGCAGTCATTCCCTATTCTGCCTTTCTTCTAACTCCTGGCTACACCATTTTATTATATTCCTACTAGCAGTGCATGAGAGTTCCAATTTCTCCACATCCTTGTCAATTAATACTAGTTATATCTTTGTTTTTGATTATAGCCACCATACTGGTGTGAGGTGGTATCACACTGTGGTTTTGATTTGTATTTCCTTAATGATTAATGATGTTGAACATCTTTTCCTGTATTTATTGGCCATTGGTATATATTTGGAGAAATGTCTATTCAAATTCTTTGTTCATTTTTAAAAACAGCTTTATTGAGATATAATTCACATAATACAATTCACCTTTTTAAAGTGCACAATTCAGTGACTTTTAGTGTAGTCATAGAATTGTGCAACCATTACCATGACCAATTTTAGACCATTTTCATCACCGAAGAAGAAACCCTGTATGTAGTTATTACTCCCCTATCCCTCCATCCCTCCCTCCCCTCCACCTTTCCCCATGCCCGCCCCTAGGTAATCAGATGGTTTCCCAAGAGATTTGCATTCTGGTTTTCCCTTTCATTTTTAATGCAGTGTCTTTCTGTAACTATCACAGCTTCCTCGTGATCATTTGCAATAATTTATGGACTGCTGCTTTTGCCCATTAGCATGAATATTGGATATCGAACAAAGCCAGAGGAATGTAGTATGCATTTTAAAGGCAGTGGGAGGAAGTTAGAATTGGCAATGTGAAGAGGTTATTCTAATTTTGGTTATTCTAATTTTGGTGTTTTGTGTGACGGAATATTTTCAGCATTGCACAAGTGTAATACTTCTTTAATGGTCTTTCTTGACACAGATATGTCTTGATTGACACACCTGGACAGATTGAAGTATTCACCTGGTCAGCTTCTGGGACAATCATCAGTGAGGCCCTGGTGAGTACTGTAGGACTTGTTACTGAGAACTAGACTGGATAAGCATCTTTTTATTGCCTGGGACCTTATGTGGGAGTTATAGAAGCTTTATACACTCTGCCTCAAGTTCTCTTTTGCTAAGGAAGGTAGGAAAAGCTTGGGGACAGGTGATGTACCTTCTGGCTAAGGCTTGGATTATGTTGTGGCTTTAGGCATCTTCATTTCCAACAATTGTCATTTATGTGATGGACACATCGAGAAGTACCAACCCAGTGACCTTCATGTCCAATATGCTCTATGCCTGCAGGTAATTGATTAAGGGTGGGCATGATATTATATCAAGGTATGTTTTTGAGTTGTCTTCTTGTTTGTTTTTGAGCACTGAGTGCTTATCCCCTAGATTTGTGTTCATTCAGATTTGCCCCACAGCTTAGTGGTTGTAAGTTGGGGAGGAGTCAGAAGGGAAAACAAGCTGTTGGCATTCTCTGTCAGCATCTTCTCATCTTCCTCCCTTGCTTGCTACAGAGATAGACGGTGTACGAATATGAATCTTCTGGTAGTTACTGTCAGTTGAATGAAACTTAAGTCTAAATAGAATAGAATCCCTTTTCTGTGTTAGGTAGTGTGAAATTATAACACAATGAGAAATTATGAATAAAAAGATTTATTGATAATTCTAAAACACACAGGTTTGTCCCAAGTGTGGTGACATTAAGAGAGGAAGGACATGCCTCACTCTAGGTTATGTTAGTGCATTAAACCCAGAAGCAAGGCATATCATTAAAGCTGAGAGAATTTGATTTTGGGGATACACAAAAGTCATCACCAACACATTTGTCCCTTCCCATATAACTAGGGATGTCCCTTCTAAATAGATTCAGGAAATCCTAGTCCGATCAAAATTTGATGACTGAGGACATGGTTCCATAGAGTAGTGGTTAGCACGTCTGCTTTACACGCAGAAGGTCCTGGGTTTGTGCCTCAGTGGAGCCATGCCCCATGGTCTACGACCATGCCACCCTGAGCAAGCCCGATGTCTGATCTCAGAAGCTAAGCAGGGTTGGGCCTGGTTAGTACTTAGATGGGAGACCACCTAGGAAGACCAGGTGCTGTAGGCATAAATAATAATAAATAATAATAATAAAAAAAAAGTTTGATGACTGACAGCATATAAGACAATTATTTGGCAAAAACAAACAACCGAACAAACAAACACACATTGAAAACAGGATCAGTAGCAAAGCGTTATTACTCCAAGAAAGAGTATGTGTGTGTGTTGTTTGCTTGATGATGATGATGGTTTGCCTCTTGGGAGAGGAGAATACATGCTGTGTAAGAAGGGTTACTTATATTTAGAATCCGAACCCACCCCCCTTCTCTTTACTCAGTCCCAACAGACTGACACTGGGTAAACAAGAGCTTAAGTGCTTTTACTAATAATATGTTGTTTGATTTTCAGCATCTTGTATAAAACCAAGCTGCCTTTCATTGTGGTCATGAATAAAGTAAGTGGATCCTTACTGTTGTGATTCAATACTGTATCTTTTTTTCATCAGAACCTTGTGTTATTGAAAGATTTGGGTAGGTGAAAAGGGTTATTTCAGATGTCGGAGAGCAGATCAAGCTTAACTAAAACCAAGTCATGATCGCTTTGGGGAAGAAGATTCAATCAGATTAAATGACTGTTTATCATTGACTTTCATCCAAAGTTATTTTAGCCTAGATAGAGCAGTCCCTCAATCATAGCATTTATGTTATCCTTCAGAATCAAGACCGTGCAAGGAGGGGAAGGGGGAATGGAACTGCTAGTCTATTGGAAGTGGCAAAATGAACAAAAATAAAACTTCTTTGGTGGTTGATGGCTGGGATAAAAGAGACTACTTGACTTCAGGGCCTGGAAGATGCTGGCTTCCACTGTGGCCATGGTCGCTTGGCAGTGGATAGTGAAGGATTTGCTTCATCCAAGGGAACACATATCTTCACTTAGTTATTTACACTATAGAAAGTCTTGGCTTCCTGTGGCTATTGCAGTGGAGGAGGAAATGGGGGAAGCAGAGAAAGAAAATATATGAATAATTGCCTTTTGCTGTCACCACTTAAAAGAATTTGTTTTGTCCATTGTTTGTTATCTAAACTCATCTCTAGTTGCTGATAATTGACTTCTCTCTGGTACAGACTGACATCATTGATCACAGCTTTGCAGTGGAATGGATGCAAGATTTTGAGGCTTTCCAAGATGCCCTGAATCAAGAGACTACGTATGTTAGTAACCTAACTCGTTCAATGAGCCTGGTATTAGATGAGTTTTACAGCTCACTCAGGGTAAGCTTTCTCTTTTGCTCATACTGACAGTGTCTCCAGGATAACCTCTTAACCCACAGGGCTGGCTTTAAACCTTTCTTAGAAAAGAAGTTCATTACCTTTTGAAAAGTAAATTTTAAAGCATTACCTATGAAAAACTGGAGGTTTAAAAGTTAAATAAGATAGAGATCCTGTTCTCAGAGACTTTATGGTGTAGTTAGAAAAGAAGGCTACACACAGAATTGAAACATGACGTATGGTGGTAAGTACCTTAAGAAAGATTGGATGTTGGGCCTGATGGTGGTGAGAGGAAATGTCACTTTTGAAATAAGAGATTCTGGAGGATATAGTATTAGAGGTATGTTTTGAAGGAAGGGGAAGGTTTGTATAACCAAAGTGGGTATGGGTAGCAGAGAGTATGTTAATTGCCCAAGCAAATCTTTATAGAGAGCAGACAGAGGTTTGATTTGATAGAGAATAGATAAAAAGTCCTGCTACTCTTTCAGTTCTAATTATCTTTCTTTTTTAGTTCTCTATTTTCCATAGACTTATTTCCATGATGTTTGGGTAGGCATGCTGTTTTGTTTTAGCTTTACTCTTTGCCAGAGACTTCTTGAAGTGTCTAAAGTTCTTTTATTATGAAGATTTTATGACATTTGAACAATATAATGTACTTCATTTAAAAATATACATTTGTTTCTTCAGTGGCATTAATGTTGCTTTTGACAGGTGGTGGGTGTGTCTGCTGTTCTGGGTACAGGCTTAGATGAACTCTTCATGCAAGTCACTAGTGCTGCAGAAGAATATGAAAGGTGAGGATAGAGGAAAATCTTATTGATGACATTCTTAGTAACTCACAATTCCAATGTAGCAGTTTTGCCAGCCAAAGCTTTTTGATTTTCATAGCGTATATATTTGTCATGTATATATGTATTGGATCTGACCACACTTAGGGGTAATGAGTTCCCAGTAACTTTTTTTAGAAGCAAAAGTATAACATCTTCACTGTATTGAATGGTTAAGCGCAGTAGTCATCAGACTTTTTTGGTAAAAAGCCAAAATATTTTAGGCTCTGTGGGCCACACGATCTCTGTTGCTACTGCTTCCACGGTTGTAGCATGAAAGCTTCCATAGGCAATTTGTAAATGATTGTGTGTGGTTGCGTTCCAGTAACACTTTATTTACAAAAATAAGCAGCGGGCTTGATTTGGCCTGTTTGCCACACGGGCTCACCCCCAATTAAGAACTTAGACTTTGGAGTCAGACAGGCATGTGTCGGATTTCTGTTTCCTCCACTTAATAAATGAGCGACCTTAGCAAGTTTTCATGATTTGTAGATCAAGGATAATAGCATTTATTGCTAAGGTTGCTGTGAGGACTATTTGAGAAAACATCTGAAGCACCTAGTGCAGTTGCTGACACGTAGTCAGCATATATCTTAATAAATGGTTGTTACAGCTGTTGTCGTGGTTAATACTGGAATTCCATTTACCTAAGGAAAGTAGAGTCCGAGCACGTGGATACTGTCCTTAGGCCCATAGCCTGTTACTTGGCTGCTGACTAGCTTGCTCCTTTGGCTTCATACTTAGCAAGATCCTAACAACCACATCGTGGTTTTCAGACACATTAATTTTATTTTTATTCATCAGACAAGAGTTTTTTGGAGAGTGTGTTATCAAAGCCTTGGGTTAGACTGTTTTCTATGCTTTCATTGTTGCCCTGCTAAACCACAAAATTATATATTGGGCTTTCTGGAACTAACAGGCCTAGCTTCTTTTGCTTATCTCAGATATTTATCCAAAAGAATGATAAGCTCATCAGTCATCAGTCAAGTTAATCTTTCCAGCCCAGCAGTCACTTTTTTCTTTTTTTCTAGTTTCAGGGTGAGGGCAGGCACCTTGGCTTTTAATTCCATAGGGATAGAATCTCAGTGAGTAATGCTTGTTATGTCTGATGTTCAGAAAAGTAAGATCTTTTTTCATTGTCAGAGTCCTAGGAAAATAGAAGTGATGTGGAGGTGGGCAGAACAGATTATTAATATTAAGCACGGGAATTTAGAAAGTGTTTTTCTTCCAGGGAATATCGTCCTGAATATGAGCGTCTGAAGAAATCACTGGTAAGTTAAAAGGCTGTTTGTATATTTTAGGGTCACTAAAAAAAACCAAAAAAACAAAAAAACAAACCCTTAAACTCTATTCTGATCCTCCTGCTTTTGTTTTGGTCATCAGTATATCTTTGAGATACTTCTTAATTTAAGTTTGTAAATTTCTATGTATGCTGTCTGAATGCAGAAAGGCCCTTTATTGATATTTCTTCTCTTTATTTGAAGTTTTAAAAATCAAGTTTTTCCTGTTATATGTGCTAAGCCCTTACTGTGCCCTACTCCCACTCCCACTCCAAGGTCCATTTAAAGGCTAGTTGCAGAATTTTGTTAAGGAACAGAGAGGTGGTTCACAAGTCTTATCCCAAGTGATCAGGTGTCCCATCCCCATCGGCTGTGTTGGGCTCCTTCTTATTGAGCCTTCCTTCTATGACTGCTTGAGGGTTCTTTTGTGTCCAGTTTCTGAAACTTCTAATTCAGTCTGCAGAGCCCTTGAGCCTGAATTTCTGCTATTCTGGGCCTACAATGCTCAGTGTTTCTGCCCCCATGAGCCATTATATTTAGTCTCTACTATTTGTATAATTGGTCATCTCCAGTTAGTAGTCTGGCATCTAACTTGGGCTCCTTTTTGAATATGATGATATTTTTTTCTCTGTATACAGGCCAGTGCACAGAGCCAGCAGCAGAAAGAACAACTGGAACGCCTCCGGAAAGACATGGGCTCTGTAGCCTTGGACACAGGGACTGCCACAGGTATTAGAGGGTCCTTGGTGTTAGGAACTAAACGGGGGGTACAGTTATTAAAAAATATTGATATTAAGGGAGAAAGAGAAAAGGATAAAGTAAATGTGGTTTTAGATCTACCTATCTGGCTCTGCCTTGCATTTAGTTGTCATGTCTCATAGTCTTCTTTAATCTGGAATGGTTCTTTAGTCTTTGTATTTACCACATTTACCACTTTATCCATATTTACATTGATACGTGTGTATGTATATTTTTGCATTTGTGTGTATTACATTATATATATATATATATATATTTCGGGTAGTTTTTGCTTTACTTTGGGAAGATACTTGATGTCTACTTTGTTAATTTTTTTTTAATACTTATTTGCCTTTAATCTGGAACGGTTCCTTAGTCTTTCTTTGTATTTCGTGACATTAACATTTTTGAAGTATAGAGGACAGTTATTTTACAGAACGTTCCTCACTTTAGGTTTATCAGATGTTTCCTCATGGTTCAATTCCGGTGCATTTTTGGCAGATCTTTACAAAAGTGAAGTTGCGTTTTGTCCATAGGTTATTATATCAGGAGGCACATGATGTTGATTCATCCCATTGCAGATGATGTTAACTTTGATCATTTGTTTGAAGCGGTGTCTGCCACGGTTTTTCATTGTAAAGTTGTTATTTTTCCCTTCGTAATAAGTATTTTCTTGGGTTGATGCTTTGAGACTATATAAACGTACTTTTAATTTTCAAATATTCACTCACTAATTTTAATACCCGTTAATGTAGTAGGGATAGTGTCTATTTTTCTGTGATACAGGGTGCAAATATTTTCTTCCCTTTGTCAACAGTCCTTTGACTTTGTTCATGGTGTTATTTGTCATGAAAAAGTTTTATTTTAATGTAGTCAAATTTGTTTATCTTTTATTGCAACTGGATTTTGAGTCATAGTTGGGAACCCTTCACTGACACCTCTGTTAAAGGGGAATTCACTCATGTTCTAGTACTTGTATGGTTTCATTTTCTATGCTTGGAGTTTTTTCTTAGGTATGGTGTAAGATAACATGTCTATATTACCTTTTTCATAAGTAATTGTACTGACACTATTTATTAAAAAGTCTGTCTTTGCCCCAGTGATCTAAGGTGCTACCTGTATCATACACTAAAATTCCATGTGTACTTGGGTATATTTCTGGCCTACCTCTTTTATTTTCTGGACTGTGTGCCAATACTATGCTGTTTTAATTATGTACAGGCTTTATAGTATGTTTTAATATCTGCTAAGGGCTAGTCCCCCTTCAACTTTTTTTTTAAGTGTTTCCCTGGCTATTCTTGCATGCTCATTTTTCCATATGAGCTGTGGAACTCTCTAGCTTGATAAAAAAAAAAAAGCTTTTTGGTATTTTTATTGGGATTGTGTTATATTCATGAATTAATTTTGGGAGAACTGACATCTCTATGATGTTGAATCTTCCTATCAAAGAACAAAAGATATGTTTATATTGTAAGACCCACTTTGTGTCTTTCAAGATAGTTTTCCTTATGTGGGGTTGGCTTATTTCTTAAATTTATTCCAAGGATTTTCTTTTTTGTTAGTGTTGAAAATGGGCTTTTTCTGAACGATTATATCTTCCAACTGGTTATGTTCGTGTATATGAAGGCTTTTCATTTTTATACATTAGTCTTTTTATTCTGCTACTTTACTATTTTAATTGTTTGAATTATTTTATCATTGATTCTCTCGGGGTTTCTAGGCTGGTGCTCATTTAAATATATACACTCCTACCCACCACACTTATTGATGGACTGGCCTTTAAAGGAGTGAAGTTCTATTCATGAAAGCCATTGATATCCAACAGAGAACAGCAGAGCCCTTGGAGGAGGAGATGCTGGGAACTGGCTGGGCTCACTGAGTGAACTCGCCTGCACCATCCTTGTTGCGTACTTCAGCAACGTAAATTTCTGTGTGCTGTGGTCCTTCGGAATCACTCATGAATACATGAAGTGGCAACTGTTATATCTCTTGTTGCAAAGGGTCTGCTGCATTCACATAACCTGTTGAAGGTTGGAGGGCATTTCAGTAAATTATTTGAGGAAAATCACAAGTGTAGTTGTGTAATTTTTAGTTGGGCAGAGAATGAAGCATTGACTACCAGCACCCCACGTCATCATCCTTTCTCAGGGCCACAGGCCACTTGAGATTTGTGTCCCTTGATGTTGCTGCTGTTAGCCACCTTTGTTTCCAGCTGAGCCCTCTTAACCTCTTAGGCTCCTAAAGAGAGGGTAGTCATGTCCTCCCATGGCTTTAAGATACTTGGACATAGTTTTAGGTTCTCATGGAGCTCAATCCCCCCACAGGTTGAATCCCCTGCCTAGGAATACCCGATTAGACTTTTTCCTGATTATTGGAGCTCAGCTCTTACTCAGTTTTTCTGAGTAGGGAGTTTGCCTCTATTAGTAAATTCAATCTTCCATTTTTCGCCTCTTATTTTTGAGTAGTGCCCTGGCTTCTCTACTCTAGAACATTTCACCCTCTGTTTTCTTCTGATCCTCTCTGAACCTAATTTCCACTAGGAAGCTTTCTCAGTGCTCCACACTTTCTCCCTTGACTCACCAGCACACCGAATCTGCTCAGATGTCTTTAGCCTTCATGAGAATAACCATAGTCTCTTCTGAGCTGTGAGCTAGTAAAAACGAATGACGTTTCTACCAAGATAAGCCACTTGAGAATTGTTTTTCTCAGTTTAAAAATGAGGCCTCTTGGGTTATTGGGATGGTGAAAGCACTTTGTGAACTAAACTACTATAGAAATGTTAAGTGGTTCTAACAATACATTTAGAAGAGGTAAGAAGAGCCTGCATTTTATCACGATCACTTTCATCTTGTCAAATTTATCATCATAGTTACTTATTGATTCAAAACCACCCCTTTTGAGGAGGCATGTGTTCATGACATGCCACTGGTGTTTTCTCCGTAGACAGCTTATCTCCTGTGCGGGACCCTTCTGACTTGATCCTGACTCGAGGAACCTTGGATGAAGAGGATGAGGGAGCAGACAGTGACACTGATGATATTGACCACAGAGGTGAGGGGTGGCTAAGGTAGTTTGATGAGTTTTAGCATATGTACATATATGCTAATAAAAGTATTTTATTTTACCATGAAGTATATATATATATATGTATATATATATGTGTATATATATATATATATATATACACATATATATATACATATATATATATATAGTCTTGTAACCACTATCTAATCAAGATACAGAAACTTCCACCATTTCAAAAGTTCCCTCATGCCCGTTTTAATTTACTCCCTTCCCGCACACCTAGTTCCTGGCAACCACTGATCTAATTTTTGTTCTTATAATTTTGCCTTTTCCAGAATGTCATGTAATTGCAGTCACAGTATTTAAGTTACATTTGACTTTTTTCACTTGATGTAATGCTTTTGCGATCCATCCATGTCGTTGCCATGCATCAGTAGTGTGTTCTTTTTTATTGCTTAGTAATATTCTATTATGTGGAGGTACCACAATTTGTTTATCCATTTACCACCTGATGGACATTTGGGTTGTTTCCAGATTTTAGCGCTTATAAATAAAACTGCTATAAATATTCATTAATAGGTCTTTGTGTCGACATACGTTTTCATTTCTCTTAGATAAAAATACTTGGGAGTACTTCATCAGGAAGGTGTTCTCCCCACTTACAGATGAAATTGTATGTTTGGGGCAACATGATAAATGGAGGATGCTTCTGGGAGATATTTCCTTATTGGGTGGGGTGAACACTTATTTCTTAGAAATAGAGTACTGTTTCTGATGGATGGGTGACAGCAGCTCTAATACACCTATCGGGAGAGTTTTAAAAAAATTGAATTTTTTTTCCTTGCAGTTACAGAGGAAAGCCATGAAGAGCCAGCATTCCAGAATTTCATGCAAGAATCAATGGCACAGTACTGGAAGAGAAACAATAAATAGTTTCTAGAAGTCCAAAAGTTTGGAACCCTGAAAAAACTATCCTTACCTGTGATTGGGGGTTACTATAAAGGACAATTTTGTTTAGAATAGCAGAGTTTCTCTTAAGATAATCTCCTGACTCAGGTGAAGCCAGGGATAGAAAACGTTTGGACCTGGCAGGTAGATGCCATTTCCCTTGGATTTTTGCAAGCTTGAAGGATATTCTTTTCTTGGATGCTGATTTTCCTTCAAGAGTAAAACCTCGAGCTATCATTTGAACTCAAGTACTTTTGCTACTGACGGATGGAATAGAGAGAACTTATTGTTAATTTCACATCTCTATCATGAGACTGGATCTATAGCCTCTACTTCCCTAGCATCTTGCCTTTGACCCATGAGTTCCCTTCCTTTTAGCAGAAAGGGAGAGGGGAAACATGAGCTTGTCCAGGGTGGCAGTGGAGTCTCCTTGGCAACCAATCAATGTTAGTATGCACTGTGCCTCACACTGGGTAGCTCATTACAGGACACCAGGTTTGTTGAAGAAAGTAGGCAAAACATAATAAGAATCCTGCTTTCAATGGTCACTTGGATAAAGTTTTTAACTTTGTTGTGGGCTTTTCTGTCATAATTTCAAATAAGAAAATTATATAATGGCAGATTCATTTCTGTTCAACAGAGGTTTAAAGCCACATGTCCAAACGTGTCTCAGTAAGAGGTGGTGGTTACGAAAGTTTCACCTGTATACATACTTGGTAACCAGGTACAGAGCCAGGCCCCATTTGTATTGTACTTTGAACTTAATACAGAGTGTCCTTGGTGATTTGCTCAAAAGACCATAGAATGTCAAGTGTACATTCCATATATAACAGTCATGATAAGGGTTTACCCTGCCTCCATATTCTTCACAATATCTTAAAACATAGAACACTTCTCTTAAGGAATTTTATCCCTGCCTAAACTGTACTCTAATTCAGTAGTTCTGTACCACTGGACCAGAAACATAAGCATCACTGGGGAAATTGTTAGAAACTGGACACTGAAGACCTGAATCAGAAACTGGGTGTGGGGGGCCAGCAATCTCTTTGAACCACTGCTCTAACTCAAATAGCCTGTAACAATTCCAGGCCAGCTCCTTACATGACCTGCTTTATCTCAGTACCCTAACCTTGACCATCTGGTGCCTATTCTCAAATTTAAACATTCTAAAAATAAAAGTATTTTATTTTACCATGAAGTATTAATTTCAATATTCTATACCTCGTGGTAACTACTGGTCTAAAAATTTGAATCTGTTCTTTAGGAGGAAACCATTTGCACAGCAAAACTTGACCATATCTGGCTTTTCCCATGAGTGCTTTAAATACTTTTTCCTTCAAGAATAACTTGTCTGGCCTATGCTATAAGCTCCATAAGGGCATGCACAATGTCTTATTCATCTTTGTATCCTTTGCATAGGACCTAGCATATAATAGGTACTCAAGAAATATTTCCTAACTGAATGAATTAAATATTAGATGGCTACTTTATGGAGGCTGTCTGATATCTACTTTCATAAAGGGAAAATGAAGCTAAGCCTGGAATAGGAAGGGTTTAGATAAGTGTCCTAAAGATGTATAATTAGCAAATTCATAAAATGACCAGGTAACAGTTTAGATTATAACCTCACTTGCTATTGCATTTATCTTTATTCTCAATGCCTGGGACATTTAAAGCGCTCACTAATGTACTAATTAAAGCTATGCCTTGACTTTTGGTCTTTATTAAAGGAGTACTCTAAATTTCATAAGACTGGTATTCTGCACCCAGAAAACAAACTTCAGAAGTATTTAACATGTTGGCATCTATAACCAAGGCATAAAGCACACATTTGCTAATTACTCCTAATTATTCCAGTGCTGCATCATTTACTTAATACTGTTGGAGACTATCAGATGCCAGTCAGAGCAGTACTGTGATGGATGAATAACAACAGTAAAGTTGTTCAGGGCACAATGTAAAGTAGAAAGATGCCTATTTTTTTAGAGGCTGCCCATCCAGTAGAAGTACTGTGTGCAGATGTTGAATTCTGGCAAAGGAATGGACTCCTGTCCTCTGATGGCCAAGCAGATGCAACAAATGAAATAAGCACAGTCCTGTCTTTGGATGGGTCCTGTATGTCTCCTTCACAAAGGAGAAAAATGAAAAAAAAAAAAATGTACATTGTGAAAAGTTTTAAAGATCTGAGTGGAAATAAAGACAAAAAGGATGAGGATAGATGGAATGAGTCTAGAAAAGGAAGAAGGAAATATGTGGATGAGTAGAAGGTTGTCTGAATAAGCAAAAATGCTGTTTTACCACAGACCTGATTTTATGAAACTTCATGGGCGGCAAAAAGAGTTTAAGGTTGTGCAGAATTTAGCTGTTTCCTGTTTGGTATCAGTACTGGACTCCCAAAGACTTGAACCACAAATGAAACAAATTAAATGAAAAACTGACATCTGATACCAGCACCTATTTTTACTTGTGAGTTGTTCAAGCATAGCGAAGGTTAATAACATCTCAATTTTACAACATCTCCACCAGGTAAGTCAAAGTGGTCTAATTCTCAGTTGTGCAAGAGAAATAGCTCTAGAGAAGCTCGGCAACTTTTCTAGTCACAGTAGAGACAGCAGTCGGGGATGCTGCTTTGGTCTGATTACCACCCCAACATTGCAATGCCTGCAAAAAGTGGCTTGGTTGTTGTAGAAAACTACAAAAACAATGCAAAAGTAAAATGCAAACTTGTTTAAGTCCAGTTCCACTGAAATCATGAAAATCCACTGTTTTGAATAAGAGTCAAATCAGTTTATGGAAATAAATTTGAATACATTAAGGTTTTCTGTTGGGTTTGTACAGAAAATCTCCCTCTTTTCCTTTTATATTTTCCTCATCCTCTTCTTGCAGCGCTGGTTGAAAACGGGGGAGGACCCCATGAGGCTATCGGTGGAGTGGGAACCATAGCTGCTGTCTGAGTCATCAGGGCTCTGGGGGATCCCAGCTTCACTCATGCCTGACATGGGCTCCTCGAAAACATCGCTGCCCAGCACACCGTGACCAGAGACATTGCCTTCTTCGCTCTCTTGAGGCTCCATTTTCACGTGGGCCAGATTCCAAAGAGGGGAAGCATTTACCTCTGTACCTAGAATGAAAGAACATAAACTAGTGGTAAGCCAAGGCTGGAATAAAATACAATGAACATACCATCCAGGGCAGACTGATGGCCACAGAGTTTATACTATGACTCTCTACTTGTCTGCAGAAGATGGTTGTAATTCTTTGCTTCAAAAAGCTGCCAACTCTGAATATCTTCCTTTCTACTTCCTCCACCCTCCTTTACCCCATCTCACCTGCCTTTTTTCTAAACCTGGGAAGTAAAACTATACATGGAGATTCCCTGTTTCATGGCCCAAAGGCAGGTACAACCATGGGCTCCTGCCCTGTTAAGACTGCCTGTTCTTTCTTCCTCTAAAGGAGCTATCTTGTTTTCCTGCTTTTGTTTGGGTCACTAGTCCTCTCTCACATTAGGAAATTAATGATCACTACCAAATGCTGGCAGTTCTCAGTCTGCTGAAAAGCAACATGGCCCCTAAGTCTGCAACTAGGTCCTTCTGTCTCTGTATGTTCTAGCAATACTGTTCTGTGGTTATTCTTCCATGGTGAAAGGCTCCCTGCTTAACACTTTAAAAACCATGACCTAATTCTGTTTAGCCTGCACTGGAGGGTTTGCTATTTGCATCATTTGTAAAGAACTGGGCCTCTAGACTAATTTGTAATCTAACTGACTTAAGAATCAAGTCATCCTAGTTCCTAAGGTAATCACAGAGTCTACCTGAAGAGGCCAGCTGCCTCTTACTATAGCCCTATTTCAATCCCTTTCAGCTCTATTTTATTGGGTTACTCTAGGAAGGAAGCCCAACTATTAAAATATCCTTGAGCAATTAACACAACTCCATCTATCTAGAAGTTGTCTTAACTGAGTACAAGCACCAGGAAGGACCAATACGTAAAACTCAGAGAAGAAGGGGACATTGCCAACCCAGCTGTGTCAGCTGAATTAACTGGTACTCAGCAAGATAATACATATTGCATTCTAACCAGGAATTACTTTAGCAGTACTAGCTCTCTAATTACAAAGAAAAGAATGTTAGTATTTTCAGGTCAGTGAAGCTATATTTGTTTTTAGGCTTTCCATTCTGCCCACTCCCACTTTTGTTCTTCCATTTCCAGAGTATGATTCCATAAAGTAGAAAGTACCAAGACTGGCGAATCACCAGAATCAAAGTAAGCTGATTTCTCTTACTTGAAGCCTGTGGTGAAGCTTCGACCTCCAGGTTAGATGGGAAGCGCTCACTCTGAGCCCCGAGGACTCCCATGGGCAGTGACTGGTCTCCAGAAGCAAGGTCAGCCTCCAGTTCTTCACTGACAGGGAAAGTGATGTCACTCACAGGTTCCTCCTTGATCTTTACAGGTTTAGTGTCCTCTGTGGCCTTCTCAGGATTGACAATCCTCTCATACTCTTCAGAGAGTTGCTTACTAATCTGTTGGCAAGCAGGAGACAATTTTCCAAGAAAATGTTAAAAGCAAGTTGGATAGTCAGTTTGTGGCATCCCATGGAAAGGCCAATGGAATGTGAATATGAATAAAGCATTTGCTGCCAACGAAAATAATGTTAAGGTGTTGAGTTTGCATTTGTAAATGAGAGATATATAAAGAAAATTTGTTTGCAGAGTGTGTCATTAATTAAAAGTTACATAAAGGTGAAAAATAGACTGTTAAAGCTAAATCAGAACTTGGACAAATGATCACATTTTTGGCTATAAAAACTAACAGTTGACATCATGGATAACAAATAGTGCAGGAAATCTGGATCACTTAGCAAAGTCTTTTTTGTTGGGCGTTAAAAATTCCTTATGATATTTTAGATTTGGGGAAACCAAAACAGTGAACAAATGACTTGCATTAAGGCCACAAGTGTTGAAGAGATATTTCTGGTTCTAACCCAAAATGATGTCTCTTTGTGCTCTTCCACCCTTGGGCAGTATCACCTCACTGTTTTGTTTTTCATAGCACTTAACGCCATCTGAAATTGTTTTGATTATTATTTATTTTTGTTTCTCTCTCAACAAGAATGTAGACTCAAGGAGCTTGTCTTGTTAACTGCTGTATCCCACAGTGCCTGACTCACAATAGGCACTCAATAAATGTTTGCTGAATAAAAGCATGCTAACCACATTCTCAAACTCCATATACCTGTCTATAATAATTTCTTCCAGAGGAAGTGTTAACATTCATTGAGTAAAGGAGACCCCTGGGTCTGGCCAGGCCAGGGATGAGGCCAGTGAATCTCAGCTAGGGCCATGGGGAAAGTAGGTTAAGACCACTTTGTTCCAAGACCCTGTGCTCTGCATTCTACAGTAACTGTTGTGGGATCCTGCTCAACAGCCCTAGACTACACATTTTTACCCAGTTTTGCACAGGGTCACCTCACCTGGAGCATGTAACTGTGATAGTCCTTGATGCGATGCTGCCAGAACTTCTGGAGGGAGAGCACACTGCCAATGCCCACTTCATGGAATACCTGCTCCATGACGTCAGGGAAAGGAGTCTGCCCCAGCCGGGCCTCCCGATCCACAGCAAAGCGCAGCAACTTGGTGAACTTAAGGCAGTACTCATGTGCCACATCAGTTAGGGTCTCCAGGACACTTTCATTTGCACACTCAAAGCCTGCATGGGCCAGGATTGTGGCCACTGCCTGGTAGAGGAGCTGCCGGCAGGAGTGCCAGCTGAGTTCAGTCACAGGTTCCCCTTTCCCACTGAAAGCAGAGATGGTGGTAGTGTTATTAGTGCTCTTGCAAAGGGGTGACCTGTCCTGTCTCTCTAGGAGTTTTACGATTCTAGACAAAGCACTGGCCTCGCTTTCCAGGGGAATTCTATGCAAGTTACCTAGTCCAGTTTCACCTTTGCTGCTGTCAGGGCATGTCTAGGCAATGCACGGTCATATCTCTGAGTTCTCCAATTACATGAAGTTTGAATAGGCAATGCATGCCTATAACAAACAGTATAAAAGGGTATCCAGTGAAAAGGAAGTTTCCTCCTTGTACCACTGCTCATTTTGATCACTTTTAGGATCTGACTAATTTTTATAGTATAACTCAACTACTAATGGTGCTCAAGTTTTTTCACCAGAACATAGTTTCCTCACATGCTGGGCAACAACACAGCCTTTCAGAAAGTCAGTCCCAATTAGGAGATTTTTATATAACAACACCAGACCATTTGTAAAACTGGGAAAGTGAGTCAATTTTATAAAAGCAATTTAAAACATATACAGCTTACAAAGCATTTTTATCCTATCCGATGCTGTGAAATGGGTAGGGTCCATATTATTATTCCTATTTGGCAGGTGAGGAAATTGAGTTTCAGAGGGCCTGATTTGCCAAGTTGTTTAGGTATTATTAATAAATGGTGGAGCTTCTGACTTCGGATCACATATTCTTCATAATACACCATTTTGCACCCAATCACTACTGCAGAAAACTTTATCTTTCCAAGGAAAAACTTCAAAAAGCTATCTGATCTAAAAATAACTTTTGACAAGCCTCTAATAATTTATCTGTCTCCTGAAATTTCCCGTCTTCTGCCACCCCCGACAAAGGAAGTAAATATATACAATAGATAAAAATAAAATAGGGTACAGAAAATCACTCTTCCCTGGTCCATACTTGGCATCTCACCACGTGCTGTACAAAGAGTGCCTGAGGAGCTATCCACCCACTTTACTATTATCTGCTCAGTAGCAACTACTGCAATGTACATAATAATTGGAAAATAAGAAAACCAATTGCCAAATGACTTCGTTTACTATTTCCATCATCATTTCCATGGCCAGTCTCTTTGGGTCAAAAGCTACAGGCCTAATTAGAAGCGTCTATTAACAGAGAGCTAAACCAATATTGCTTTACTTAAGTAATATATGGACCTATATATTTTCAAAGTTAAATAATTTTGGCACTCTCATAGCTGATGTAAATCATTTTTATCACAGTTTCTTAAATAGGTATAAAACTAGGTATACTTTTTGATTATAGCTCTTCTTAACAAAGTTAGAAATTTGACACAAAACTACTAAATTCTAAGTAACAGCATCAATTTAATATGATGGATACTATTATTTTGTTACAACTAAATTGCCCTCAAAATGTAAATATTGTACTGATTGCTAAAGAGTAAGTGTTTTTAAGTTGGCCATATCTATAAGAATATGTGCCATGCATGTAATGACACAGTTATCCCTCCCCTATTCACTATTATACTAACTTCACCATGACATCATCTGGCCTTCATCTGGCTCAACTGCAACTTTTACATATTAAATCTATTTCTGTTTTTTTTTTTCTCATTCATTTAGGACAATTAAAATAGTAGGAACTATTATTACCAATAGGCCAATGCAATAAGTGATATACAACATTACTTATGTAGTACTTTTGCCAAATTTAACCTGAATCTAATCTTGAGGAAATATCAGCAAATCCAATAAGTGGAATTTCTATAAGACAAATGATTAATATCATGTTTTTTAAAAAGAAAGAGGCTATTCTGGCTTAAAAGACACAAAAAAACGCACAAAACCAAATACAATGCATGTATCTTTGTTAGGTCCTGGACTGTGGTAAATATATCTACAAAAGATATTTTGGGGACAACTGGAGAAAACTGAATATGGACTTATATGATATTATTTAAATAGTGTTCATTTACTTTGGTGTAATAATGATATTGGGATTATATAGGAAAATGTCTTTTTCTTGGGATAAGGTGAAGAATTAGAGATGAAATATTGTAATGTCTGCAGCTTTAAAATATCTGGCAAAAAGTGTAAGGTGTGCGTGTGTATACATTTATATATTTGTGTGTATATGTGTATACACATACATATGGGAAAAAGCAAATGTTAACAATTGGTGAATACAGGTTAAGGGTACGTGGGTGTTCATTGCACTATTATTTAAACTTCTCTGAAGGTCTGACAAATTTCAAAACAAAAAGAAAAAAGTAATTATTTGGCACCAAATGCAAACTTACACAATGAAATTTAGTAGTAGCACTAGGTTATAAGTCAGTCATTCAGAGAATCTGGAGCAGGGCTTCTCAAACTTAAATACACTCGTGAATCTCCTGAAGATTTGTTAAAATGAAGATCTGATTCAGCAGGTCTGGGTGGGATCTGAGACTGCATTTCTAACAATCTCCCAGGTGATACTGATGCTGCTGGTCTTGAATCAGATTCTGAGTAGCAAGGATCAAGAATGTTTTTATTTTATTATTTCTTATACAATTAAAAAATTCTTGTATAGAACTTGTGGATTCCATGAATTGAATTCCATTCAGTGTCGATGAATCTCAATTTTAGGACACGGAGCTAAATCCAGAATACACATTTTAATTGAAAGAGAAAGACTAGATTCTGAGGACCATGAGGCCAAGGTCTGTTTTATATAACGGTGTAGTATCTTGCTCCTAGTAAAGTGGTTGGTATGTAGTAGGCACTCAATAAATATTTGTTGCATCAAAACATAAAAAAATACAGACTTTAGATTTTGAAGATCAGGGTTCAAGCTTACAGACTTCCCATTAATTAACCTGAGTAACTCTGGCCAAGTCAATTACTCTTATTCTCAATTTCATCAAGGAAATGTCATTAACATGCTTAACAGAGGTGTTAGAAGATTTTTTTGAGAAAAGTAAGATATAGCAAAGCCCTGACTTACCGATAAAAGTCACTCTCTGGGTCACTGTGGCGAATTTGGAACGGTGCATTGGGATTCTTACAATCTAAAGGCAGGAGGTCATCAGGAAGAGGAGGTGACCCAGGGCAAGAGGGAAGAGGTTCACTCTCTTCAGTCTTTACACCTTCTGTCTGTTGCTGATTCTGGGCCTGAGCTGTAGCAATGAGGTTACGCAGACGTCGGTTGTGCTGGATCAGCTGAATGGTATGGATGGTGAGGCTGCATGGCTCTGAGGGGATGTCCAACATAGTGGGAGGCTTGGGCTTGTTGGCTGAGGGTTGGTGCAGGGGTGGGTCATGGACTTCCACCAGACGGAATTCCCTTGGCAGTAAGTCAAAAGTACTTCTGTTGGTCTGACTTGATGAGATTGGTATCTCTCCCCAGTATCTCAACATTTTGGAATAAGAAAAGCTTTCAAGTTAAATGTAGATGATATCCTAAAAGTAGTGTTTTTAAATCTCTGGCAACTGTAGATTACAGGCTTCTGAAGTGAAAAATATAAAGTCTAGTCAGTTATTTACATAAAAAGTCGTCTGTTTAAGACCACTTAGAAAAATGTCATCATCAGCAACACTGTAGAACCAAAGATGTTCTCCCTGAAGAAATGAAGAGATTCAACTGTTAGATGACATCAAATCGCACACAATGACAATTCCTACTAGACTGAACCATAGATGGAATTTGGGTCAAGACTAATAGCTACAACAGTATATGGGACTCTAGTGTCTACATTTCCCATCTCACTCCGCTATCTCACTACTAGAATTACCATCATTTGCAAACCCAGATACTTATATAAGACCTGGAATATTTCTCAAGAGTATCTTGACACATGTCCTGGATCAGTAGGAGAAAAGGGAGTATAGTTAAAAATAGGAAGAGGTGCTTCTTATTCTGTGTGTTAGGTACAAGAACCTTTTAACTGGTTCTGGTGGAAAAATGTATTAACCAGTAATCTAAACAGTCTTAATGCGTTCAACTTCTGATATACATATAGGTAGAATCTGAGAGATTTTTGCTGACTCCTAACTGGTATCCCTTCCTCCAGCTTCTCCTTGTACCTAATCTAGTCTCCAGTGCTGCTAGACTTAATCTTTTAAAAATTCAGATTAATGGCTTTCCATTGACTCTTAGAACAAGCCAGTCAGAATTCTTTGGCGTACGAAATTTACCTCTGGCTCCAACCCACCTCTCTAGAGTCCATTGCCCATATGTATCTTCAAATTCAACAAACATTTATTAAATGCCAGGCTTATGGGAGAAGGCAAAGACCAATGCAAGATCCCTGACTTGAGGTGAGGGAGAAAAACAAAAAGAACATTTCAATATGAAAATGTGGTAAGTGCTGTTCCAGAGACACAGAAGTGGAGTAGTAGAAGCACAGAGGAGCCTCCTGGAGGAAATTACCACCTTAATCCTAACAGTATCATACTACCCAATTTCTTGAGAATGCCATGCATGTCCACACTGACCCTTTAAACTGTGATCTCTGACAGAAATTCCCTGCCACGCATCACATCCTTGGTAGACTTGTACTCATTCTTAAGTAAGTCACCACCCTCCATAACTTCAGTACATCTCCCTCCATTATACTCTCACAGCATTTTGCATGTTTTCATCACAGTATTTATCCCTGAATTTAAACTGCTCCTTATCTCAACGAATTTTATTCTCTCATCTATCTCCAAAACCATGATCTTAGTACAGCGTATGGCTCACGGTAATATCTGGAATTTACTGAGGGCTTACTATATGCCAGGCTTTGCCTTGATTATTTAATTCATTTTTCCCAACTACCCAATGAAATAGATACTATCACTATCCCATTTTCCATATGTGGAAGCTGAGGCCCACTGTCTTGCTCATTGTCACAAATGGCCAAGGGGGAAAGTCAAGACAGGCTCCAGAGTCTGCATACTATGCTGCCTCAATAATTGGCTTCGGAAAGAATAAAAGAATGAACGAATGAATGAATGAAGATACAGAAAAAGAGCCCTCTTCTTTAACTTAACCGAAAGGAGCACGAAGAACAGGCACCAAGTCCAAGGAACACCCAGGTCCCTCGGAAGCTCCACGGCAGGCGCCAATCACCGGGTCCTGGAGTCCTGGAGTCGCCGGATGCCCGGGGCGGTTGGGAGACGAGGTGGTGTGGAGCTGGACGGAGGCGAAAAAGGCGTCACTATTCACTGCCGCGTCGCGAGAGCGGGGTTGGGCGGACGCACTACCCGGAAAGGCCTGAGGCGAGGATGACTTCTGGCCCCGAAGGGTGGTTTGTTGATTAGTGGGCCTAGGCTGCCGGAAGCGCTTCTTCCAATCAGTCTATGCCACAGGAAGTCTTTACGACCTGCTGTGCAACCTCCAAATATGTCCCCGTTCAGACAGTATCCCGACCGCCTTTTTCTGTTTTTCTTTTATTATGACCTTCCCGTGATACGCACTTCTTCACAACGCTCTGGGTCGTGAAGGAGCAACTCCATCATCGCTGTCCAGAGAAGCCGCAGGAGCTGGGGAGAGGCGTGGAGAGGAACGTAGAGACAAGAGAGCGAGGTTTCCCAGGACCAAATTTCGAGACTGCACTGGATTAAGGATGGAGGATAGCCCTCCTCCGTTCGAGCCTAAGGCTGCGCAAGAACTCAATGGCGACTTCAAGAAGCCAGCCCTGCCGGTGCCTTCGGCGGTGCGGTGCAAGTTCCCCGCCACCAATCCGTCAAACCCTGAGGAGGTGAAGGAGAGGTCCACGTCGCTGCTGGACCCCGATTCTGGGGAGCCTGATGTCCCACCAGGCCGGCCCGATAGCTCGGAGGTTAGGAGTCCCCTGGAGGAGCAGCCGTCGCCCCCTACAGCGGCTCCTGCCCCTGGCGGCCCAGCCCGGGCTCCCCCTTACCGAGAACCGCCATGGGGTGGCCCCGCCATGGCCCCTTACTGTTTAGAGACCCTGAAGGGCGGCACCATCCTTGGCACTCGTAGCTTGAAAGGGACGAGTTGCTGCCTTTTCGGGAGGCTGGCGAGCTGCGACGTGTGTCTGGAGCACCCTTCAGTGTCTCGGTACCACGCTGTGCTGCAGCACGGGGCGTCCGGCCCCGACGGAGAATGCGACGGCCATGGGCCCGGCTTCTACCTCTATGATCTGGGGAGCACCCACGGCACTTTTCTCAACAAAACGCGCATCCCACCCCGCACCTATTGTCGAGTCCACGTCGGACATGTTCTTCGCTTTGGCGGCAGTACCCGGCTTTTTATTCTTCAGGTAAGTAGAAAAACCTAGAGTTGACATCTCTGGAGTGCACGGGGCTGGGCTCCTGAGCTCCGCTGAGGAAGGAGATTCTCGTAGCGATTACCAAAGCGGAGGAATCTGGCTCCTTACCTCCAGACCTGTGGACAAATTGCCATGTTTCTGAAAGTTACTTCAACAATCTTGAACTCTAAAAGAATCCTTTCGCTTGGTTCATCAGGGACCAGAGGAAGACCAAGAGGCAGAATCCGAGTTGACAGTAACGCAGTTGAAGGAATTGCGCAAGAAGCAACAAATGATGTTGGAGAAGAAGATGCTAGGAGAAGACTCAGATGAAGAAGAGGAAATGGATACGTCTGAAAAGGAGAGAAATACTACTAGTCAAGATGATGAAATGGGCTGCACCTGGGGAATGGGTAAGAAATTAAAATTGGTGCTAGATGTTAATATTTTAAATTCATTACTAGTGGTACCCTCAAATGTGTGTGTGTGTGTTTTATCATACAGCTTATACATGATTCTTCGAGATAGAATCAATTCATTTTGCGCATGAGGTTACCAAAACCCAGAGAGATTCATTAACTTTTCTGATGTCAAAACTGAATTATGGGCACTATAGATTTCTTTTAATGTGTTTTACAGATCATTCCCTTGTTCAAAACTCTTCCTCAGCATAAAATTAATTTAGTATTTTTACCATAAAATTTTTATCAAGTACCCTGATTATCACTGAAGGGGTTTGAACTACAAACAATTAAAATGGAATGTTATTCAGTTTAGGATACTTAGATTTTTTTACTTTGTGTAAATATCCTGAAATTTGAAATATCTAATCAGAGAAATCTGAACCCTTAGCCAAAGGAGCTAAGGAATGGGTATTCAGAAGCTAGGAACATAAAATGATAGATAATGGCCTTAATATGTTGTTGGGAGGACAGGATGAATATTATGAAATTACTCTGGTAAGTCTAAAACAAAAGCTAGAACCCACGCTAGAATGAGAGTCCAGAGAAGGGAGCAATCACTGAGGACTTAGACCTGCACTATCCAATATGGTAGTCACATGTGGTTATTGGACACTTCCAGTGTGGCTTGTCCAAATGGACATATGCCATAAATGTAAAATACACACTGGATTTCAAAGACTTAGTGTGAAATAAGAATGTAAAATGTCTCATTCATTATATTTTTATATTGATTACATGATAAGAGAGAAATACTACTAGTCAAGATGATGAAATGGGCTGCACCTGGGGAATGGGTAAGAAATTAAAATTGGTGCTAGATGTTAATATTTTAAATTCATTACTAGTGGTACCCTCAAATGTGTGTGTGTGTGTTTTATCATACAGCTTATACATGATTCTTCGAGATAGAATCAATTCATTTTGCGCATGAGGTTACCAAAACCCAGAGAGATTCATTAACTTTTCTGATGTCAAAACTGAATTATGGGCACTATAGATTTCTTTTAATGTGTTTTACAGATCATTCCCTTGTTCAAAACTCTTCCTCAGCATAAAATTAATTTAGTATTTTTACCATAAAATTTTTATCAAGTACCCTGATTATCACTGAAGGGGTTTGAACTACAAATAAAATGGAATGTTACTCAGTTTAGGATACTTAGATTTTTTTACTTTGTGTAAATATCCTGAAATTTGAAATATCTAATCAGAGAAATCTGAACCCTTAGCCAAAGGAGCTAAGGAATGGGTATTCAGAAGCTAGGAACATAAAATGATAGATAATGGCCTTAATATGTTGTTGGGAGGACAGGATGAATATTATGAAATTACTCTGGTAAGTCCAAAACAAAAGCTAGAACCCACGCTAGAATGAGGGTCCAGAGAAGGGAGCAATCACTGAGGACTTAGACCTGCACTATCCAATATGTAGTCACATGTGGTTATTGGACACTTAGAGTGTGGCTTGTCCAAATGGACATATGCCATAAATGTAAAATACACACTGGATTTCAAAGACTTAGTGTGAAATAAGAATGTAAAATGTCTCATTCATTATATTTTTATATTGATTACATGATAATTCACATGTTTTCCTCCATTTTAAATATAGCTACTATAAAATGTGAGATTACATATATAACTTTCATTATATTTCTGTTGGTCAGCACTGTCTTAGATCTTTGGGAAAGTTTATAAGCAGAGGAGTTTTGAGCTAGGACTTGAAGAAAAAGGAAAAGTAGCCCTTAGGAAGCTGAGCACTGGGAGTGATGTTCAGGGCAGGGATTGATGATTTTAAGGGAGTAATGAATAGACCAGTCTATTTGGCATATATGAGAAGTATTAGGAAATTATATTGGAAGTAAATTATGAGATTTGGATGCAGGAGAATTAGAAGGCCAAGCTTAGGAGCTTAGATTTTTTTTTTCCATAGAAAATGTGGTAATTTTGCTTTTAAAATATACCGATGGAGGAAAAAAAAAATCGTGCTATGAAAACAAATTTTAACTTGTCATACAATTTAAAAAACCTGAAAGTGTCGTTACTGATAGCTCTTTGGTTGTTCCCTCTGCCACCACCACCACCAACCCCTTTCTTTTCATCACTGATAACTATATACAGCCTGAAAGGATAGTGGGTGTTATTCACATAGTCTCTTCTTATGTCTGATTGTCTTTTCTTTCTTTCCCATATCCTGTAGGAGAAGATGCTGTAGAGGATGAGGCTGAAGAGAATCCCATTG